TTTTTTTTTTTTTGCACGGCCTGGCCGCCCGGGAAAAAAGGGTGACCCGGGCAGCCCGGCTGGTAGCCTAGTATTTTACGCTTTATTTTGTCCAGGAAAAATCCGTGAGAATTGTGGCCGCGGAATTCGGGCCGCCATCGTGGCCGCCGCGGCCATTGGACACCACGGTCGCGGCCGCGGGTGATACATAGCATATCACCGGCTGGAAACCAGGTCCAGCATCCTGTCTCTTGCTGGAAAGCAGGTCCAGCGTCCTCTGCCTCAGAGAAGTTTTACAGAGATAATCCCTCTTGATAGCTACACTGCTTATCCCAGATTTGCAACCAATATATTACAAGGTTACCTTAACTTCCTATTGCTGAGGACCTTGAAGTTCCAACCTACTTACTGATGGCTGTTTGGGGTTGTGTCTCCTGTTCAATCTGTATATGGGACGCTGGGCCCGTTTCCCAGCAGGTGATGCTCCCCACCAATAGATGGAGCCTCTCCCCAGGTGTTAGTGGTGTCTGCTCTTATCAGCACCTCTAACACTGGCGGGGGTGTGTTTAAAAAATTAAAAAAAAAAAAAAAAAAAAAAAGTCTAGAGAAGAAGATCTTACCGGACTCCACATCTAAAGGGTTGCTCCCAATAACACTTGGGACCTATGTAGACCATCCTACTCGAAACTTCTCATTTACTGTTCTTTCGGTACTCAGCCAAAATCAGCATCCTCACTGAGTACCTGAACTGGTTTCTGATGGCGATGTCAGAGGATGGCTTCTCTTTGAGCCATCCATCTCTGCGTGCCAACCACAACAGCCAAAATGCAATGGACCGAAATTTTTTTTTTTTTTTTTTCGTATGCTACATTTTTACCATTTTTTATCGACGTAATTCCAGATGAAACAAAAGACTGATTCCATACATTGGTCTTCCCCTGTGCTTTCAGCCAAATTGTCACTCCTACATATCTTTCTTTTCCCTACCTACCACTACTCCTAAGGCTATACAGGGGACCCCTGCAAGCATAGCTTTCTTTCTTTCTTTCTTTTTTGTTTATTTCTTATTTAAATTTAAACAACCCGGGATGATGATAGGGGCGCTGATAGGAGCAGACACCACTAGCAATCTCGGGAGGGCTCCATCTATCATTGGTGGGGAGCAGCACCTGCTGGAAAAGCGGGTCCAGCGTCCCTAACCATTATAAGTCGAATGATTAAACCCTTGTTACCTCTCTTCGGTGAAGGGAGATTACCTCTCTCCGTGGAGAGGGGTAACGGCATGTTTGCCCCTTTGCCCCCCTAGCGTTTAGGGTGCAGGGGGTTGGGGCCTTTCGTGGGGGCCTGCCTGGCTAACACAAGGACAGAGTGTGCCTCCCTTTTTCATCTGCCTCCACCCCCATCAAGTAAGGGTCGTGTCTAAAGCCAATAGCCTCCCACACACCACACACAACCCACTCACAATCTCTCACACCCATGTTGGCTGAAGACCTTACTACCAATACCGACTGGGAGGATCCAGCTGACTATCTCAGTTGGTTGGCACCAAGAGTGCTTCAGGCGACGGTGGGGACTGAACCCATGACTTCTTGAATGCCACTTGCGTGCCTAGCCAATTGAGCCAGGGACTGCTAGGCCGCTGGATTCCTTCTTTTTTTTTTCACCATCAGTTAGTAAGACATGCAAGGGAAAAAATGTATGTAACAGAAAAGAAAAAAACAAAGTAAGGAAAAAAAAAAAACAAAACAGGAAAAGCAGTTTTTTTTTTTTTTTAAAGCTATATTCTTCTCTCATCTATCTCATTTGTCTTGCTAGTACTCATCTATCTCATCCTCTCACGAGTGTATGTGTAGTATGGGGGAACACCAACCAACCCGGATCTCTCCCCAGCCCACGGGGTAGGTTGGCACCACAAGCAGTGGTGCGAGAGCAAGGCTGTACCAGTCCCTCATCACGGTGACGAGTTTCTGTTTTTTTTTTGGAAGTGTCGAGTTTCCTCCACAAACAACAAGGCCTAGTTCCACTAGCAGTGTCGAGTTTCTTTTCTTTTTTTTTTTTTTCTTTTTTTTTTTTTT